TATATATATATATATATATATATAATAGGTTAAACTTTATTTTAGTTTTTAACAGAACTCCCATAAGATCTTATAATTATTAAAACTGGTCAATGAATGAAATTTGCCAATCAGTTAATCATCAACTGATTATTCTCAGAAGATGACTAAAAAATTGTTTTCACGAGTTAACAAACAAACAAAAAATTTTTAATTCAACAAATTGAGTTTTGATACCCTATGTGGGCAGAGCATATACTGTCTATTATGGAGCCTTGTACTTAACAAACAAATATGATGGCAAATTTTCAATTTCTTAGATAGTTGGAATAATTGGAGATTATAATTCTAATTAGTTATTTTCATGAGTCATAACACTATTTGAGTTGACCAATCTTGAATTAAACAAAAATAATAAGGAAAAATTATAATGGTACTATTTTGAGTACTGAATAATTGGAATAATTCAAAACACTAATTTCAGTTAGTTTATTATTTTCCTGACATTTATTGATTTAAACTTAATTTCAGTTACTGGTTAATTGAACCAATCAAAAACCGTAATAATAGTGAATACTAGTTGGATATTTTCATGGTATTAATCAGTACATGGTAATTTTGATTAATATCGTATTTTAAGTGATACTAATCGATGTATATGATGGTCATGGGTAAGTGATATATTGATTAACTGAGTTAATAATAATTACCCATTCTTCGTTTTTTATATTGAAATTATCTTTGGTTCAGAACATTACAACACAATATTGTAGCTGCTTGCCAGAAGATGAATGTGTGAAGAGCTGTGCATTTATGAAATTTATAAAATTTACAGACATTCTTCTATATTGTAAATACATCATGCCAACAATGAATAGGCAATTTGTTTTATCTAAGATACATATTTCATGTATTAATAATGTAAACAAAATGTTTAGATGAAGTAAACAGGGAAGGGAAAAGATTTTACTTTATGAACTATTTCACTGCCACGTTTATGGATGACTATCCCAGTGTCCTTTCCTTATGGTGGAAAAAAACTGCCATGATAGTACAGTGGAGAGGAACATGTATATCTGTACACTTATTACATGTAAATACTGAATGACTTATTGCCACTGACTATCAAACTGTATTTGCAAGAAAGGGGAAACAGTGGTAGAAAGTCCCCTTTGAAAGTAAACCTAGAGTGTTTGGTAATCCAAGATGTGTAGAAAAACTTGTTTATCAAATAATCTTGTATTCTGACTATAACACAAAAAAATACAATTTCAATTTTTGTTAAATTCTGCTGTGAAATGAGCACCAAATAAATTTCTTTTAAAAGCATTTGTGAATTCAAATTCCAAAATTTGTATTGTATTCAAAAAGATTACAGGAAGTTGATAAAGCTTTTAAAAGACATAGAACAAGAATATGCATGTTTTCATTTTAAAAGTGATATTTAGAAGTTTGTTGTTGCTGAATAATTTAAGTTTTTTTCAGCCAGTATTATAGAACTGTTATACTGAGCCACTGTGTCAATTTTAATTTACATTAATGTTGACCAAAGGCAGGAGTCAATGTTCATGTAGGATTTTATGAGTATCAGTGTCTCAAAAACTACATTTTGTGTTCTCTTGTTAAAAATATATGCTACAACTTGCAAAAACTTCATTTTTCAAATGTTTCTTATAAGTTGCTTGAACTTTGTAATTTAAATAAATGGACTAAAACTACTGAGTATTTAAAAATTCTACCTCATTGCTAAACAAGGATAGCTATAGCATGCATTATCATGACCATTACAACAAATGGTCCAGGATTTAAGTAATGTATGTGTGGTTCAGTTATTGTAATAACTGCAACTCATTCATGCTGTCAGTGCACAACAGCAATGTGAATTGTGTGTATATGTTTAAATTTTCCATATTAATGTAATGAGTGATTGAGTAAGAAGGCTTATACTTGTTATTGTGAAAACCTGTTGTAAATGTGAACTGTACTGTTTTATTTTAAGTGTTTAAATTTTTTCTCGATTTTTTAAGAGAAATGTATATTTTAACTACTAAATTATAAACCCATTCTCCTTCCTATATTATCCAATAAATTATAATATCCCAGAAATATCTGGAAAGCATGAATAGTCCTTTATAAAACAAGATATAGAATCATTGACTTGCCTCTGAAGAGTTTTTGTGTCAAAAAACATCTTACCTCAGTTTAAAAGTTCATTTTCTGAGCAAATAACTTCTATTAGGTTGAGAAGCATAAATAGCTTGTAAATTCAATTTTGCACAGAACTCAGTCTGTAAACATTACTTTTTACAGCTTGTTTTATTATATTTTAGATATTGATTTAGACATTTTTCTTAAAAGTATTAATTTTTTTGTAGGTGCAAAATAAAAACTTGTCCTCCAGTAGTAGAGTAACCGGAACTGCCAGCTCATACCCAATGTTCACACAGGTATGTAATGATTCTGTGACTCTTCATTCTTTTACAAATTGAGTAAAAAATTTACTTAAATATTTTGATACGAGTTAATTAATTTTATAGTAATGCTTAATGAAAGAATGTTTTATCCAAGACAACTTGTGTCCATGTTTGAAATCTATAATATATTAAAAACTATCATTAACCTCTGATCAAAGCATGCTACCTACAGAGATAACTAAAAAGTAACATAGTAATCAATATAGTTAATATACCATTCTTACTTACAATGATTGGAATACATTGTTTTATCATGTGGGTATCCTTGCTGTTAGTGATAGTTCCAGCTGTAATCCAAGTAATACCTCGTGAGGTTTGGCCAGCTTAGGAGATATAGTTTAGTCCTAACTCCTATTTTAAGCTAATAATACAAATAATCCTCATTATAATATATATATATTAAACTATGTGTGT